AGACCTTAAAACTCGGTTTGTACGTCATTTAATTTTTAAATGATTATTATGATTATAAATAATACTTGATGCTGTTTTTTTTTAAAGTGTATTGTTGTATTTAGCAGAAATTGTCTAAACTAATTATCTAAGCAACTGATCTAATTATCTCTGTATAAATCTAAGCAAAAAGTTTTTTCATAACTTCTTTTTAACACTTGGCTTAAGTTTGATTTTAGGTTTTGTGCAGCAATTGCAACGTTAATACATACACATATATATATATACATACACACACATACACATTTATATACAAACAAACATTACATACATATAACATATATAAACAAATTGAAAAAATGAAAAAAAAAAAACGTTTTCTTTTAAACCAAACACAATTTTGTATCGATACATTTCTACGTTTTTACACACTCTTCGTTGGCGAAACGTAAGATTTACCGTTATAACGTATACCGCTTTCGTTTGTCATGCGTGTATCTCGTTTCTTTTCTATGTATTTACTTAAGCTTCAAAAACGTCAACACAGCGAAAACAAAAGGCAACTCAAAATATGCCTACGAAAAAAGAAAGAAAAATTTCAAAATAATAATACTTACAATTAGAAGATCTCGACAATTCTTGAATTTGATATGAATTTCGTTATATGTATGTATTTTTATTTTGATTGACACACACACACAGTCCCGGACTCACTATGGCTGCCCGCTGTGCCTACTCAGCGGAGCTCATGTATGATATGAATGTGTCCCTGTGCCGTCCCTGACATCTCTCTCTCCCTTCCACATCTTCACTTTATGTTTGCACATGCAATTTGATCACTGGCTCCCTTTCTTCTATCTATATGTATTTATTACCGGCTCTTTTTTCTAGCAATATTTAATACTAATTCAAATTCTTAACCTTAAAAAGTATTTCGGGTATTATTTTTATTACTGTCTGTTTATTAGCAAATAAGTTTGTGAGTTGCGGTGTTTAATTAATTTGCACTTTCCAGGACTTGAAATAATATGTAAATTAAAATTTGAATGTTTGCGGTAATCGTCGTAAAAATGTGAAAAACACAAGCTATAGCTTAAATACAAACGAATTAATAATATCCAGAAATTGTGTACTTCAGTAAGGCTTGCTGCAGCTTCTGCGTTCCACTATTCGAAATGTTAAATGACATTTTTTTAAAAATCGACACTAGATTTATTTATCAACAATCGTCAACAAATGCCAGCTGATTGTAATCGATTACTGGTTCATCGCTATTAATAAGATATCGAATATCTATCTAAAATTGTTTCAAAGTTTTCTACCAGTTTTATGTTAGAATAAATCAAATGTGATCTTAATAAATAGTTGCATCATAATAATAAGCTTATATTATAAAAATTATTGTGTTTGGCATGTTCGGCTTGTGGTAAGCGTTGCCATTTGGCGGCGAGCCGCCTGCTGTTCAGCTCAATATTGAACCGGTCACGAGGAATCAGCTCATTTGTACCGTTCAGTTCATTGTGCAGTCACCTTATGGACAAACCCAACACTAGCGCCTGACAGTTGTTGGGCGAGTGGCAACGGCAAAGGCAAAGACGAAAGAGGCGAAAGCAAAAGTGAATTAAGGAAAGCAAAGGCAATATGCAAAATTAATGTGCGCTACGCACGTTGTTTGCTGTTAACTGTTTAATCGCAATGCAAACTATGAACAATTGCAATTGCTAGCCCATAACACACACTCGCACACACACATCTAATTCACTTAACAAATCACGGCGTGTGATACCGATTTCGGTTGCAGTTGCAAGTTACTACGATTTACCAATTTCCGTGTTATTTATTATTTCTTTTTTTTTTTTTTTTTGTGTGTGTGTATGATTTGCGGAAAGTAAAAGTGGCTGCCGCAGCGGCCTGCCTTTGCCTGTATGTGTATTTGTGTTCGTCTCGATTATATTCATGTTCGTTTGGTTGCGTTTGTGTGTGTGTGCGCGCGCGAATGTTTGTGTGTAAAAAAAAGTTGCAGAAATACAAAAGTTACGCAAAAACATAGCAAAATTGTGTAAAATAACAACAACCACAACGACAACAAAACCTGCCGCCTGCCAGTGTGTGTGCTTAGGCTGCGTGCGTCCGTGCGTGTGTGGGTGGGTGTGTGAGCGTGCGTGCGTGTGTGTGTGTGTTTCGGCTGTGCTCTGCTTGAAACGCAGCGTACCGGCTGCACAGAAATGAGCGAAAACAACGGCACCAGCGGCACCACCATCACAGCCGCCAATGGACCGCGCGTCGTCACCATCTACAAGACGGAAACTGGCTTCGGCTTCAACGTGCGCGGACAGGTGTCCGAGGGCGGCCAATTGCGTTCAATCAATGGCGAGCTGTACGCTCCGCTGCAGCATGTCAGCGCTGTGCTGGAGAACGGAGCCGCCGAGAAGGCGGGCATCAAGAAAGGCGATCGAATACTCGAGGTGTAAGTATTTACCGCTCTTAATGAGAACAATAAAATAATAGCATAATATATTGAAAAACAAGCCATAGCGAAACTTCAAGGAAGCTTTATGTTTGACCTGTTTGTTCGCGCCCCGCCCCGCAATGCTGCTCTGACGTGAGTGAGAGTGAGTGAGCGAGCGACCCACCCACAAAACGTCTCCACTCGAAATGGAAAAGAAACTTAAAACTGCCGCTTGGAAGTCCTGGAATCAATAAACACTGCTCACTGTGTGTGTGTGCGTGTGTATGTGTGCGTGAGAGAGAGAGAGAGAGGGCTGTTACTGTAATTCGCCGTCATCATATCTGGCAACCGTTTGTTGCTGCTTCTTCTTTAGCTTCTTTCTATTGTTGTTATGGCGTAATATTTATACCATTGTTTAGCCACATTTACATGCAAACATTCACACTTGCGCGCACCTACATAAAGACATATGTGTACATATCTATGCACACATACATACATGAGCGCCCACAGAGCCAGCTAATTAAAATGCTGCCCTCGCTCCCTCTGCCGCTCTGCATGCATTGCTGCTCTCTGTCACTCCACTCAGACGCTCATTTATATGCTCTCTAAGTTTTTTTGTTCGTTTCTCTTGTATTGTTTTTTTTTTTTTCTTTTTTTTTCATTTGCAGTCTGTCCTTTGCTAAGCTTTTTGTTTTGCATCTTTGACATTTTGTGTTATCGTCGCTCAGCCAAATGCTATCAATCAATGCATGCTGCATATAATTGAGTTTTGTGGTGGTCGCCCATGTTGTGATAACCTTTTCAGCCCCATGCCCCACTCAGACTCTCTCTCTCGCTCTTGCTCTCTCTGCAGCTGTCTCTGTCTCTGCCTCTGTCTCTTTGACAGCTGCGGAAACCTGCGCACAAATTCAATTAATAAATTTAGCTATTTTGTTGCGCGGCGGATAACAACTTAATTATCGTTGGCATCGCACACCCGCAGCTCCCACAGTCAGCCCACAATTCACCCACTGCACATAACTGTGTATGCCACGCCTCGCGCGCTTCTCGCTCCCCGCCCCGTGAGAGCACACGCCACGAATTGGCAAATGTTTATTTTTCATATAGACTGTTTTTTTTTTTTTGACGAATTTTCGCACTTTTTGCTGGCAGCACGTCATTTTCGTTGTTATTGTTGCCGTAGCTGTTATTGTTGTTGTTGTAGCTGCTGGGTGGCCCATTATTTGATTATGTATGTACTGTAGCAAGAACAACAATTACTGTTATGATTTGGTCGCACGTGTGCAAACAAAGCAACAGTAATCAGAGCTTCACAAACATCCAAATAATTTTTTTTTTTTTACATATTTGTTTTGTTTTACTTTCGTTACGCGTTTTATATTACTCTCATTAGCTAAAAGCGCAGCGTTTAGCGGTTCATTTGAATTCTCGTTTTTTATTTTTATTTTTTTCTTGATTGCACTTCTTTTAAACTTTAACTATAAATAATAAATCTGCTTGACTCAATCGCTGTTAATATAAATGATTCACCAATTTTATTGCTATTTTTATCGGTTCACTTTTGGAAATGAATTCGTTTTTGAACCAGTTTAACTACTTTTTCTATTAATACGGAACTTAAATGGCAAACATCTCATTAAAGTTCATATTTAAATTATCTATTTGCGATCATATTCTCCAGGCAAATTGTGAAATTTGGCATTTGTTATGCTTAGGCAGAAATATTAAAGATTTATTTATTTTGTTCGTTCTTACATATTATTGCTCATTTTGTTTACATATTGTTACTATTTATATATGTATATGGGGCTATTTCTGACATACGTTTGTTTACACTTTGATAATAGTTTGCATTGATATGTAAGTCTATATATGTATGTACATATATGTATATACTCATTTTGTATTCGTTTATTTTGTACGATTATAAGTGACCGGACTTTTAAGCTGTACCTTGATAATGCAAAGCCAGCTTATCTGAATATTTGTTGTATATATACTATAATTTATATATATATGTACATATATACATACATATGGCTATATAACCGAATAATTAAAATGTTTAGCTACAATTTTATTGCCTTTGTTTTGTTTGCAATGTAATTTGATTCTCTTCCGTTCTCATGAATTTAGTTCATTGAGTCAGATAGACATATATGTATGTATGTATGTATGTATGTATGTATGTATGTATGTACAATATATGTTTATTTTCGCAGCACTTTTTGAGATCATTAATATTGTAAAAGGCACAAATTGGGAACATTGATTTGTATTGATTTTCCTCTTTTTATAGTAGTGTGGGTCCTGTGAGCAAGTAATATAATTAT